GACGCATCTTCCATCCCAGAAGTAAAACATGTTCTACTTAAATGTGTCAGGCCTATGCGTACTTCGTAAATACTCGCTGGTAGGTTCGGTTGGACCAAAGACTAGCGTGAAATGAAGAAGGCTCCTAGGTCCTAGTTTAGTAATCTCAATTAATGTTGCTTAAATTGTGCCCTTTAAGCAACAATAATTCGGCTTCCTGGCAAAACAGCGGGTGTATTCAGACTATTCAGGTCCTCAGTGAAGGGCTGATGGAACTATTGCGACAGAAAAACGAATTCCCATACAAGCCTTGAGCTAAAGAAGTTGAAAATTACTAGTGAGTAACTATCCATGAAGCGTATATCGACGATGACTTGGGCTTTCCTTCGCGGAATGAAGATGGTGATGTATCACGTAGGCAAATAACCGTTAAATGGACACTTACAGTATGCGCCTAAGCTCGTGAGACATTGACAGACTCCGACAAATGTGTAAAAATGCCCAATAATATGCACAAGAAAGTCTATCAGTGGCATTACCCATATGTTTCTTTTTCTCCCTCGGGCCTGTTTTGCGTACCATAGTCCAATCTTTTTTCCCTTGAGTGACGGTGGATGCTTTTTCATTGGACGGCACGTATATACCGGTGTGGTGTGATTGTTTTCAGGTGGCAAATCGAATGATACGGGTTGTGATGTCTGTTCTGTATAAGGGTTGTGTTGAAAGTTAGGCTGGGGTCTAACTAGTGAGCAGTGTTCTGTTGCAGGGTTGCCTTGGTAGTAAGGCGGGTACGGAGAGAATGTTTGCTGGCAATCGAGTGATACCGGTTGTGATGTCTGTGCTGCATAAGGGTTGTACAGAAGGTTAGGCTGGGGTGTAAAGGGTGGGACGTTTTCGTTTGCAGGGTTGCCTTGGTAATTAGGCGGGAACGGAAAGAACGTTTGCTGGCAATCGAATGATACCGGTTGTGATGTCTGTGCTGTATAAGGGTTGTACGGAAGGTTAGGCTGGGGTGTAAAGGGTGGGAAGTTTTCTGTTGCAGGGTTGGTTTGGCAATTAGGCGGATGCCGAAAGGGTGGTTCCTGGTGTCTGGACGCCGACCTACTAGAGCGACCGCGAAGCGGGGGTTTAAATGCCCTTAAGATGAATTTTTTTGGGCGAAAACGTCGTCGACGGTTAGGAAGGTGGGTAGTTCGCGGGCCTAACGCAGAAGACGCCGGT